AAAATGCAATGGGAAATGGGGAAAATGACACGGAAAATAACAGAGAATAACAGAGGAAATGCAATGGGAAATGGGGAAAATATCACAGAAAATAACAGAGAAAATGTAATGGGAAATGGGGAAAATACAATGGGAATAACAGAGAAAATAACAGAGAAAATGCAGTGGGAAATGGGGAAAATAACAGGGGGAATAACAGAGAAAATGCAATGGGAAATGGGGAAAATATCACAGAAAATAACAGAGAAAATAACAGAGAAAATGCAGTGGGAAATGGGGAAAATAACAGGGGGAATAACAGAGAAAATGCAATGGGAAATGGGGAAAATATCACAGAAAATAACAGAGAAAATAACAGAGAAAATGCAGTGGGAAATGGGGAAAATAACAGGGGGAATAACAGAGAAAATGCAATGGGAAATGGGGAAAATATCACAGAAAATAACAGAGAAAATGCAGGGGGAAATGGGGAAAATATCACAGAAAATAACAGAAAAAATGCAATGGGAAATGGGGAAAATAACACGGAAAATACAGGGGGGATGAGGGAAATGGCAGGGGAATAACAGAGAAAATAACAGAGGAAATGCAGGGGGAAATGGGGAAAATATCACAGAAAATAGCCCAGGAAATCCAGTGGGAAATGCAGAAAATACCAGAAATGCAGTGGAAATTCAGAAAATAACAGAAATGCAGTGGAAATGCAGGAAGTAACACAGAAATGCAGTGGGAAGTGCAGGAAATACCAGAAATGCAGTGGGAAATGCAGAAAATAGCACAGGAAATGCAGAAAATAGCACAGAAATGCAGTGGGAAATGCAGGAAATAACACAGAAATGCAGTGGGAAGTGCAGAAAATACCACAGGAAATGCAGGAAATAACAGAAATGCAGTGGAAATGCAGGAAGTAACACAGAAATGCAGTGGGAAGTGCAGAAAATAAGACAGAAAATGCAGGGGGAAATGCAGAAAATAACGCAGAAATGCAGTGGGAAGCGCAGAAAATAAGACAGAAAATGCAGGGGGAAATGCAGAAAATAACGCAGAAATGCAGTGGGAAGCGCAGAAAATAAGACAGAAAATGCAGGGGGAAATGCAGAAAATAACGCAGAAATGCAGTGGGAAGCGCAGAAAATAAGACAGAAAATGCAGGGGGAAATGCAGAAAATAACGCAGAAATGCAGTGGGAAGCGCAGAAAATAAGACAGAAAATGCAGGGGGAAATGCAGAAAATAACGCAGAAATGCAGTGGGAAGCGCAGAAAATAAGACAGAAAATAAGACAGAAAATGCAGTGGGAAATGCAGAAAATAACACAGAAATGCAGTGGGAAATGCAGAAAGCAGACCAGAAATGCAGTGGAAATGCAGGAAATAACACAGAAATGCAGTGGGAAATGCAGGAAATACCAGAAATGCAGTGGGAAATGCAGAAAATAACAGAAATGCAGGAAATAACACAGGAAATGCAGTGGGAAATGCAGAAAATAGCACAGGAAATGCAGAGAACAGCCCAGAAATGCAGTGGGAAATGCAGAAATGCAGTGGGAAATGCAGAAAGCAGCCCCGAAATGGGACCCCCAGAGAAGAGCTGGCGATCCCCGCGCCCCCCGGGCCGGAGGTGCCCCCCCCAGTCGGGGTTCCGGGGGTGTCCGGGGTCATTTGGGTCTGGGGTCCGTGCCCCGCTGACCCCCACCCGCAGGGGGCTGTTCCGGCCCGAGCGCGCGCTGGGCTCGGCGCTGCTGCGCCTCGAGGGGCTGGAGGGGAGCTGCGAGCTGCGGGAGCAGCTGGAGGTGAGGAGGGGGCGGCGGGGTCCGGGCGTGCCCCCTCCCCACCCCCGCAGGGGGCTGTTCCGGCCCGAGCGCGCGCTGGGCTCGGCGCTGCTGCGCCTCGAGGGGCTGGAGGGGAGCTGCGAGCTGCGGGAGCAGCTGGAGGTGAGGAGGGGGCGGCGGGGTCCGGGCGTGCCCCCTCCCCACCCCGGGGGTCCGGGTGTGCCCCCTCCCCACCCTGGGGGGGTCCGGGCGTGCCCCCTCCCCACCCTGGGGGTCCGGGTGTGCCCCTTCCCCACCCTGGGGGGGCCCGGGCGTGC